TTCAGAGTCCTCCCAAAACAAAACAACACAACACAACACAGGAGGCATCACTTTACCAGACTTCAAGCTATACTGCAGGTTACAGCAACCAGAACAGCATTGGCACAACAGAGACATAGACCAATGGATCAGAACAGAAAACACAGACATGAAATCATCTTCATGTTCCCATTTGATTTTTGACAAAATAGATAAAAACACACACTGGGGAAAATAATCACTGTTCAACAAATGGCACTGGGAAAATTGGATAACCACAAGTAAAAGATTGAGGTAGAATTCATACCTTTTATGACTCACAAAATTAACTAACTATAAATTTTAAAAACTTAAACCTAGGCACAAAACTATAAGAATCCTGGAAGAAAATGTTGGGAAAATATCAGATATCAGCTTAGACCAATAATTCATAAATAAGACCCTAAAAGCAATCACAGCAACAACAAAAATAAATAAGTGGGACCTAATCAAATTAAAAAGCTTCTGCACAGCCAAGAACAAAATCAAAAGAGCAAACAAACAATGCACAGAATGAGAGAGGATATTAGTAGGCTATACAACTGATGAAGGATTGATAATCAGAAACTTCTAAGAACTCTAGCAAATCAGCAAGAAACAAGAAACCACCCCATTACAGTGTGGGCAAAAGACAGGAACAGAAGCTTTTCTAAAGAAGACAGACTAACGGCAAACAAACTCGTGAGAAAATGCTTCACATCTTTAATCATTAGGGAAATACAAATCAAAACCAAAAGGAGATATCACCTAACTCCAATGATAATGGCACATATTAAAAAGTCTCCAAACAACAGATGCTGGCCTGGATGCAGAGAGAAAGGAACTCTTACACACTGTTGGTGAGACTACAAGCTAGTGTAACATCTACGAGAAGTTGTATCCCTCAAGGAACTTAAAGTACACCTACCATTTAATCCAGCAATCCCCTGGGTTTTTACCCAAAGGACAAAAGCTCATTTTATAGAAAGCACACTTGCACTTCAATGTTTATAGCAGCACAATTTGTGGTCGCAAAGACACAGAAACAACCCAAGTGCCCACTAATACTTGAATGGATTAATGAAATGTGGTATATCATACTATGGAGTACTACTCAGCCACAAAAATGGACATCTAGTATCTTTTGTGACAACCTGGATGGAACTGGAAACCCTTCTTCTAAGTGAAACATCACAAAAATGGAGAAACAAACACATGTACTCAATACCAGTTGGAACTAATCAATATGCAAAAATAAATTTCAATGAAAATCAAGGTAGAGGGAGGAGGGATGAGGGATAGGTAGATTCATACACATTGGGTACATTGCACCCTACCTGGGAAAAGGGCACATTTATAACTTTGGCTCAGTCTGCACAAAAACAAAGTATGCAGACAAAACAGGTACCCCTGAATATCCTGAAATAAAAAAATAGGGAATAAAGAAATGTCTGAATTATTGTAAAATGAAAAATATTCCTTATATTAAACTTCCAAGTAAAATGTGTTCATTTACTTTGTTTTCTTTTCTTTGGTGTTTATGTCATGGAATAACCTTCCAGGTACTTGAAGACAGTAAAACCCTGTGATCTGTATCTCTCTGGGCAGAAATAAGCTTAGCTAAAATGTTCAATTTCTCTTCCAGAGAAGTAGAAATACTTTGTTTTCCTTGCTTTGATCTCCCTGAATGATGTTGTGTTCCGGAGACAGAGTTTGTGGTCATGGAGCAAAAAAGAATCCTATAGAAAAAAGCTAGATGAAGATTAGATTCTGAGTAAAGAGGTCCAAAGAATCCATAAAGCATCTGATATTTTGAAGTCCTTGGGATCAGACAGAGATGAAAAACCAGACTCTAAGCAAGAAAGAATAAAAGTATAAATATATAAGATAAAAATATTGTGAAAGACAGAAAATAAAAAGATCCAGAATTAAAATTCCATATGGAAGGTGAAAAGCATTTCATGGAGGACTTTTCCCTATAAACAGGGTTATATGACAATTAATCGTAATCTAGTCCACCACTTCTGGCAACTGAACAGTCAGGGTCTGAAGGCAAACCAGCCCAGATTGTCCCTTCTTATTCTGCCTGTGCCGTCTTCCCAGAGCTCTCTGGTCAGGGGGGTTCTGGCCCCTCTCCCTCAGCACCTCCCCTGGGCTCTGCTTTCTCTAGGGAAGCTGCTTCCTTCTTTGTGACTACCTGGTAACCTGTCTCTAGTTGGCTATCTCCCAATGTTTGTATTGTTTTTAAAAAGATCTAACTGAATATCATTTTAATCAATGCCCTATTAATGATATGAAATATTCTATATAAATATATTTTATAATTGTTTACATTTTTATTGTGTCCTTGGCCTTAAATTTCTGAAACTCCATGCCCCAGGAAATTTGAATGCTACGAATATTGCCACATCATTTTATCAAAAGAAATATTTTTCTCAGTTGTCTATAGTCCCATTTCTTAAACTTTCTTTTCCCATATTCACTTTAAGCAAATAGATTTTATTTTTTAGAACAGTTTTAGATTCACAGGAACATTGAGAAAATAGGACAGAGTGTTTTTATATACTCCACACCCAGCTTCCCCTGTTCACATCGTGCCCTGTACACTTGTGACAATTAATGAACAAATATAATGTGTTCTTATTAATTAAATTTGATAGTTTATTCATTTTTGCTATACTTAATGTCCTACATGAGTCTCAAGACCCCACCCCAGTCATCATGGATCTGTGGTCTTCTCCAGCTGAGAACGTGTCCCTGATTTTCCCCGTTTTCAATGACCTTGATAGTTAGAGGAGTATTGCCCAGTTATTTTCATACTTCTTCCTTATTTGTCTAATATTTTTCTCATAATTAGATTGTGATTATGGACTTAGGGAGTAATACCACCGAGGAAAATTACCATTTCATCATACTCTATCGAGGGTCTGACCAACTCAGTTTGTCACCATTGATGTTGGCCTTCACGGAGGGGCTAAGGTAGTGTTTCCAGTTTTTTCACTGTAAAGTTTTTTTCTTCTCCCCACTTCATTACCATACTCTGTTTTTGGAGGGAAGTCTCCTCTGACACAACTCTTGTGTGTGGAATATCTATATAAGTTTTTGGAAATCTTCTCCATAGAAGATAAGACACTTGCCCCACTTCTGTTTATTTATTAATTAATATGGGTTAATGAATATTTATTTTTATACTAAAGGTTATTATCTAGCATAACCTTATTTGATGTTTTCCTTAAATTCTTTCCACTTTATCCATGAAAGCTCGTTAGTTGGCATTTGTGTCCCTGTAACATATCCATCTGTGTGTGTGTGAGTGTGTGAGTGTGTGTGTGTGTGTGTGTGTACGGTGCTTCTTTACTTTCTGACTGTACGAGACCCTCCACACTTACTTGGTGTGTTGGTTGTCCTGATTTATGCTGAGTCATTTTCCTAGGAAACCTTGGCTGTTTTCGTAGGGTAAATGGTATTAGAAACCGAGATCTGGGCGCTACGTATGCACTTTGCTGCTGAGATTTCCTTGCTCCTGGGCCCTCACAGCTGACAGAGCGAGAAAATGCACATGTGTGTGCTAACCCAGGCACACGCGCTTTCCAACCTGCATTTGTTTGTGTATTCATCAGGATCAATAATAAGGTAAATCTTAGTTCATATTGATATTTCTAGCTCTAATCCATTGTCAAATTGATTATTCTGTGTAATTTCCCACATTAACAGAGAGAACCATGGCTCCACCCTTCACAACCTATTTACTTAGTGCTTACGTTCCAGCGTGCATGCACAGCAATATCGTAACTTCAGCCTGCACCAGGCTGAGAAACAGCCCCACAGCTCTGATGAGGGTGATGACGACGGCTCCTGTCGCCTCTACTCTTACAGAAGCTGTTCATTCCCTAACTTAGCAAGGTCAACACTTTCTCTGCACCATCTTCCAACTGTCTTCAGAAACGGTGCTTTATGCATTTGTAATGCAGGTAAGATCTTTTTGTCATAGTCTGCCTCGCATTCTCAGGTCTTCTGTTTTCCTAAGTGATTTTTAAAATTTGCATACTTACAGTTCAGTCTTTGTGTTTTAAAATGTTAGGGGTTTGACAAACATGTACTATCATGGATCTGTCACATCAACATCAGACAGAATAGTTTTACCACTCTTAAAAGTCCTTTGTATTCACTCAAACCTTTCCTCTTATTTTCAAATCCGTAGCAAACTCTGAACATCTAAGGGTCCATACAGCTTTTTTATTTTCCAGAATGTCCGATAATTAGAATCCTACAATAGATTGGCTTTTTCCAACTGGCTCCTTTCATTCCGGTACACGCATTTAAGGTTCCTGCAAGTCCTTTCTTGGCTTGAAATTGCATTTTGAATTGTTGAGTTGTGTTCCATCATGTGGATGTACTAGTAAACTCACACATTAATCTACCAATTAAAATCTGAATTTCTTCCAGTTTTGATGATAATTAATAAAACGGCTGAGAATCTTCCCCTGCAGGTTTTCACACAGGCTTGGGTTTTCACCTTGCTGCCTGTGGATTTGGTTGCTGGATCACATGCAAAGCACATTTTTATTAGTGAGAAACCACCAAACCATTTTCCAAAGTGGCTACTTCACTTTGCATTCTCACTGCCAGCGACTGAAAATTCCCACTGCCCCAGGTAACGGCCAGCATGATGCTTTTGGACTTCAGTCATTCTGACGTACGTACAGGGCTCACTCACTGATGCTTTCATTAAAAATGTCCCAGTGTCAAATTATTATAAGCATCTTCTCATATACTTGGCATCTGCTTATCTTCTTCATTAGGGCCCTGTTCATGTCTTTTGCATGATTTTTTGTTGAATGATATTTGTTATTTTACTATTCATTTCACAAGTTCTCAGTTTTGAATACAAGTTCTTTATCAGATAAGTGTTTTTCAAACATTTTATTTTCCTAGTCTTATTTTGTCTTAGATTCTTTAGCATTTTTTCTACAGCAAATTTTAATTTTGAGAAGTCCATCTTGATGCTTGCGTAGTTTCGTAAACATGGAAATTGGGTGCTCACTTGCATGTGTGAGGCGGGCTCCCCCAACTTTGGTGTGACGTGAGCACATGACCAGTCAGACGTAAACTTTGCAAATTCCTACCCGAGGAGCACGTTGCATGGGTGGGTGGCACACGTCCTGGGTAAGGGCACAACTACAACTTGGACTTTAAACTCACAAAAGCAAACTTTGTAACTTATTCGTTTGTCCCCCCATATTAATATGAAATTTCTAAAAAGTCTGTCTTACTGAATTTTTCTTGCAGGCTTTGTCCTTTCTGTGTTGCTCACACTATCGTTTTGATTGCTGACGTCCTCCCATCTCCTGAAAAGGGCACGTCCTATTAAAATTATATGGTTTCATTTGTCTGAAGGCTAAGCTATAGCAGAAGATTTTCTTTAGTGCTACGTCTATATACCTCCCTCTTTCTTTCTTTCTCTCTCTCTCTTCCCCCCCCCCTTTTTAGTGATATGTATACATATCTCCACTCTTCCTTTCTCTCTCCTTCCTTCCTCCCTCCCTCCCTCCCTCCCTCTCTCTCTTTCTTTCCGTCGTCTTTTGTTTTTCTTTTTGAGATTGGGTCTTGTTGCCCAAGCTGGTCCTGAACTTTTTTTTTTTTTTTTTGAGATAGAGTCTTACTTTATTGCCCTTGGTAGAGTACTATGGCATCACAGCTCACAGCAACCTCAAACTCTTAGACTCAAGCGATTTTTCTGCCTCAGCCTTCCGAGTAGCTGAGATTACAGGTGCCCACCACAATACCCGGCTATTTTTAGAGATGGGGTCCCGCTCTGGCACAGGCTGGTCTCAAACTTGTGAGCTCAGGCAATCCACCAGCCTCGGCCTCCCAGAGTGCTGTGATTACAGGCGTGAGCCACTGCGCCCAGCCTGCTCCTGAACTCAAGGAATCCTCCACCACAGCCTTGCTGGGACTACAGCTCCATGACACTACACCTGGCTTATGCTTTCCTTATTGTTTTTGTTTGTTTGTTTGTTTTTTCTTTTTGGAGAGATGGAGGTCTCATTATTTTGCCAAGTCTAGTTTCAAACTCCTGGTGGTCCTCTGTCCCTGGCCTCTCACTGTGTTGGGATTAAAGGCATTAGCTCCACATCCAGCCTATTTTCTGTATTTTACCACTTAGACTTTCTAAAACTTGTGTAGATAGATATTCTATACATTGTAGACTTCTATAGATATTTTAAACTTTCAAATAAAACTAAGACAAATATAAATACATGATTATGCCTACAATAATCTGTACTTACAAATATATGTCAAGATGAAATTTACATGTAGATGAGTTGTTGTTTGTTTTGTTTTGTTTTTTGGAGACAGAATCTTACTATGTCGCCCTCGATAGAGTGCCATGGCATCACAGCTCACAGTGACCTCAAACTCTTGGGCTCAAATGATTCTCTTGCTTCAATCTCCCAAGTAGCTGGGACTACAGGAGCCCACCACAACACCCAGCTTTTTGTTGTTGCTGTTGTTGTTGTAGTCATCATGTTGTTTAGCAGAGCTGGGCCGGGTTTGAATCCACTAGACCCGGTGTATGTGGCTGACACCCTAACCACTGTGCTATGGGTGCCAAGCCAATAATGAGATTTTAAAATGTATTTTGCAAGTAATATGGAATTTGGAGAAAGAAACTTATACTAATAGCCAGTCAAATTGATTTGAGCTATGTTCTCATTTGAAAAATTAGTACTAAAGTACCACATGTCTTGAGCATATAATTAGGATTATTGCCGTGAGTCACATACATGTCGGGTTTATTGAAAACTATAAAATGTAATTCTGTCAAATTGGGGAAATGAGAAGATTAGCAGTGAGTAGACAAGCAGTTTTCTTTTACTCACTGAGCTAATGTTTCCAAAGACTATTGCATGAAAGAAAGAGGAGCTATTACCACTAAAAATGTTGAAGTCTGCATTGAAAAAAATAACAAATAGTAATAACTTTAAATTATCGTAAGCTCCCTGTGCTCCTCAAGGCATTATAAATCATACTGTCAATGAAACCAAAGGCTTCTTTATCTCTCAACATAAATAATAATGAGTTTTGGATGAGTAGGTGAGTGGATGCTTGTGAGACTATTTAAATACTGTGATTTAGAGCAGTGAGTGATCTCATAAAACTGCAGAAGACACGTGAGGCTAAACAGTGCAAAACAGACATGATAATTCAGCACAGGGTTTTCACTAAAGGTTAGAGGATTCACACAGCTTAGGGGCTGGTCATAAGCTGCTTTTTTCTTCAATGAAACATCTTTAGAAGAAACCAAACACAGTTTCACAGTTCCTGAGTGAGGAATGAATTGAACATGACTTCTTAAACACTCTTTGAATACAACAGCATCCATAATTACAGAGAATATTAAATATTCCCCTGCCCTTTCAATTTTCAAATTCTTTGGAAGAATTTAGCGACATTCTTTATAGTGCACGGCAAATAAAATATGGTTTCAGGCACACAGTGGTTAGCACCACGGTCCATTTTCACAGTTTATTTTTTCAGTTATTAGTAGAATGCTTCATTTTGATGTAAGTCTGATAAAGACCTTGCCCTCAAGAAAATATCCAACAGTCCCTTCAGATTGTAGAGCTAGTGGTTCTCTTCAATTAGACAGATGTTTGTGTCTTTGAAGCCAGAAAATCACATGAGCAATCTTGGTACCTGCATGTTATATCTGAAGCAAAGGGAGTGTGGCAGGATGATCCCCACCAGAGAAGATGAACTGATGGATAGACAAAATGTAATGGAGGCCCACAGTCATCTGAGGAGACACAATACGACCGTATTTATTCTTATGCACGTGATCACGATGATGTAAAGTTTCTTCTTTTCACCACATGGAGAACACAGCAGTCAGGGTCTTAGAATCCCATGACAAATGGAGCTCTGCTGAGACTGAGGGGCTTGAACACCGCTAATTCTCTAACATGTCGGCCGCAATGAAAGGGTTCTCCTTCTGCTTATCGAATTACCCAGAAGGAATCTGAAGACTGGGCACACACTGAGTAAGGGGGTAAGAGACACACTCCTTGTGCGTTATGAATGGAAAAAGTTTGATGTAAGAAGTGAAAAATGACTAGAGAAAGAAATACAAAAAAAAGTAAACCAAGGAGATACTATTTTTGATTTCTGCATGGTTTTCTATTGAGGGGGGATGTTCCAAATCATGATATGACACTTTCTTTAATATTTTATTGTGGTATTAATTTCTAGGAAGTATCAACTCAAGTGGGTTTAGTTTCCTATCACTATTTTAACAGATTATGATAAGTTTAGTATCTTAAAGTATCACAAATTTATTTTCCTATGGTTCTACAAGTGAGAAATCCAAAATGGGTCCCAGTGGGCTAGAATCCAAGGGCCAGCTGGGTGGTGTCCTCCTGATGGTGCCAGAGGACAAGCTACTTTCTTGCCTTTCCCAAAGTCCACAGCTGCCCGCAAGTCCTCCGCTTGTGGCCCCTCCTCACTCAGATCTTGTTGTCAGTTGTCACATCTGCTCCTTTGACCCTGAGTCTCCTGCCTCCCTTTTTCCTTTTGAGAACCCCTGTGATTACACTGAATTTATCCAGTTAATCTGGGATAATCTCCTGATTCTGAACTTAATCACGTCTGAAAGGCCTCTCATGCCATGGAGGACACGATAACTCAGATTGTAATGAGCAGACGTGGACATTTCCAGAGGCCATTACTCTGCCCACCGCAAAGCACTGCTCAGTGTGGGAAGCCATGTGCGATGATGGACGGGAAGACGCGGGTCCCGGGATCACTCTGACTGTGCGGCGTGCTGCAACTCAGCCACCTATCTCAGCATCATGTGCATAAACCACATAAAGGAAATCAGACATACCTCTCTGGGTTGCCTCCAGAAATGTCATGGATAAAATAACCTAGGTAAATGTATTTGGCAAAGTATAGTAACTTAGGGAGAGTGAGGTCTCCCTATTCTTTAATAACACTGACTAAATTAAAGGCCCTGGGAAAGTCAATAAACATCCCAAGTTTCATGGTCTGTCCAATGTCGTTGAGAAAAAGGAAACTGAAAATGACTTTTTCACTAATTTCTTACCTGAAGTTTGGGCAAACGATCTCTTAGCAGCAGTGCACAGGTGCACTGACGACACTGCCAAAGCTGCAGCTGGGGATTAAGAACAAGGGAGGATGGAGGACAGCGGGGACAGCGCTCAGCTGCACATGGAGATAAATAACAAGGGAGGACGGAGGACAGCGGGGACAGCCTGGGACAGCGGGGACAGCGCTGAGGACGTGGAGCCCTGGACACGTGGCTCTCTGGGGGGAACTGTTCACTCAGCCAACTCCTCTAGACACGATTCACTCTATCCTAGATGGAAAGGAGGATTCAGAACGTGGTGCTGACTGCACGGGGATGCTGTCATTTGGCCATGGGAAGTGATCAACTTACTTCTGGAAACCTGAAGATTAATAACCATACTCCTATGTTCCGACTCCTGCAAGGCCTCTTAGAAACACTCAACAAATCCTCAGAGCTTTAGACAAACTGATTCAAGACTGAGGAGATACATTAGGGCATCAGAGTGTCCTGAAGCGGGAGAGATGGGCGTCTCACCTACAGCTCTTTCAACAATCTTACGTCTTATTTTGCCTATTGTCTTTCTCTTTATAATTTAATTGCACTTTTTTGAGTACATCATTTGAAATGGCGCTTTCTTTTTTAGATTTTTATTTATCTTTGCAATTTATAAACATGCTTAGATCAATTTCTGACATCTCTATAGTTTCAGATTTAGAATCAAGATCGTTTTTTGATGTTGCCATAGATACCTTGACTGTTTGTTATATTAGCCTTTACATTTATTTTCTCCAAAATTCATTTCCATATGAAAGCTTATCTCACAAGAGTGGAGTGAGATAGAAGAGAGAGACAGGGAGGGGGCAGGAGAGTCGCAGGCCAGGGACCAGAGAACCGATTATTCATTCTTAGTTTGAGTGCTCTACAGTTTTCTGCTACACAACTTGCAACATTTTATTTGTTTATTTAAATTTTTGACCTATAAAAATAGCTATTTACATCTGTTGAGTGCAAGAGT